AGCGAGGGAGGCATCTCCCGGCCCGGTGAGCTCCTGCCGGGCGCACGGAGGAGGCTGAGGCCGTGGCCGTGGGGGAGGGCGCGGTTTCTCGGTGACCTCGCAGTCGCTGGGGGCTGGGGGTCTGCCCGGGCAGCCGCAGGTGTGGGCTGAGCCCCGGCCGCTCCACCGGTGTGAGCCTCCGGGCTGCTGTAACGGGCTCTGGTCAGGCCAGTTCTTAGAGGATCCGTTTCCAGAAGCGTTCTGGGACGTTTCTGGTTTTAAGTTTCCGCTTCTCACTGTGGTGATGTGTTTTGTAAAGCTGTTGAGCTAAGCCTTGTTTCTGTGAGAATGGTAAGACAGCCCTGTAGCGTTTTACTTTAAAAAACAAAACAATCAAAAAGCCCCGCGTACACGCACAAACTTTTGTTGTAAATAGTAGCATTATCGTATATGGAATATGTAAACCATGCCTTATGTAGCAGGTCTAAAAGGAACACGGTGCAAAGGAGTTCTCTAGAAGTACCAGCTCTCTAGAACAATACCGTGAATGACCTTTTATGAGTTTGCCTGTTCTTGATGTCAGGCTTTGAGGATCATTTTTCTTTACATTAACTACATTTTGGCCTCATATCATTGGAGTTTCAATATCTCCTAATCTCATTCACATCTTGGAGGGAAAATATATTTATAGCAGATCTGCTGTTGCAGTACATCAAAGCTGTTGAGGTCTGTGAAGTTTTGACATGTTCTAAGCAGCCCAAGTCTGATGCTGTTGTGTTTAAAAAAATGCATGTGGGATCAAGTTCAATATAAAGCTGGAGGAGTAAAGGCATACTTCATGCCTTTACTTGACTCCTTGTGAAATTCAGATAGTTTACAAGTTATAAATCTATCATCATCATAAAATGGCAGTTTATTTTTCCAGAGCTGGCCTTCAGCTTCAAAAAATACACAAGTTATGACTGAATTTTCGCAAGAAGATTGTGACTCTTTTGCACCTTTGGGGCATATAAAATTTTAATGCCTTTTGAAGTTGCTACTGTTAAAATAATAACTTAATTTCTCTGTATCCCTCTTTCAGCAATTTTCTTTTTTCCTTCAAAACTAATCAAGCAAATGAAAAATCTCAGTCATTCTGTGCGGTAGAAATCACAACTTTACATTTGAAAATAATGCAGAGTTGTTGGTAACAGAGTTTGAAATCTTACTTTTTTGCATACAGTTTCCAGTCTTCCCTAAAACACGTGTACAAAAGATTTCTGAGGCTGTCTTCTCTGTGGTCTGTAGGTGACTAACATGACATTGCTTTGAATGCATTATGTGATTGTAATTATTTTTAATATTCAAGGAGGAGTGTAAGAGCTACATCCACAGAAAGCTCTCTGTCTCCAGCTTGTTCGCTGGCCTGTTGGCTTTGACAGATGAATTTTGCAAGAAAGATTGTTTTTTTAAATGAATCCTCTATTTTGAGGAGACTGTCTGTGTTCCCCAGACTAAGTGAAGTCCCTTCTTGTTTTCCAGATTTAAGAGTTTATGCCAGACTCGTATCCTCTGTGCTCTCTACTGGTTTGTACAGCCGGGTCTTGCGGAGCCTGTGGATTCCATATTTGGAGACCTGGCTCTTCCTGTGCGCTATATCGAGCGCCCAGGGGCTGTTTCATAACCCTTTAAGCAGGAAAGAGCTTAAAAGGCTAAAGAGAATCCATTGCTCTAATCCCAAAACTTAAGGAAGAGCTCACATTTTACCAGGGGTCTCATTAGGCAGGAGTTTTGCATTTGCAAATGAGACTGGATTGGAAG